AATAATAATAATAATAATAAATGGCCTATCTCATTTTTGAACTTGACTTTTACTAACTTACATGCCCCTTCGCCTTATGTATGGGTCTTATCATGCGAACTCAAAAACAAAATGGATAAATACTAGATATTTATATCTACCATCTAACAATTATAAATTGATAATTGCCTCTTTTTTTTTTTTTTGAATTAGTATAATTAGGGGATGAAAAATGAAATTGCTAAATCTTAAATTTTAAACTTATAAATGTCACCACTTTTTCAAAAGAGTTGTGATTGTTGGACATGAGAGTGGTTGGCAGATCATTGTCTATAACACTATCCAGTATGTATTAAAATATATCCAGGAGCATAATCATGTTTTCTAATCATGTTTTCTATTGGGTTTTCTATTGTTGTGTCATTTTCATAAATTCATACTATTAATGGCATCATGGAATTTCTTCTTTTCTCAGGCTAGCAGGCTCAAGATTCATGCAGCAATGTTGGGCTCCTGGGCTTTTGGGCTTCTTTCAGTCTGAGTTGAAAACTAATCCAAAAATGGGGGCACACATAATGTATGTGGATAAGTGTGGGATTCAATTTTTGGAAACATTTTTTTCTCTTTTGCAGGAAACTATTACGGATAAAAGTTCAGGTTACAGACTTGTAATTTTATAGTAAAATTTTTACCTTTTAATTTGATAATTTTGTTAAGGGTTTTCGTAACTTATATTTTAAGTTATAGATTCTAAATATTTTTTGTCATAAATATATATAAATGTAAAAATTAACATTAATTTTAATATTAATATCAAGTAAATAAATTTAATTATATAATTAATAAATTAAAAGTTAATTATTATTTTTTTAAAAGAAGTTGATGATGAAAATATGTATTTATTTCACCTTTAAGATTACAAATTAAAAAAAAAAAAGAAGAAGAAGCCATTTTGTTAATTTTATGTTTATTAGCATATGTGACTTCATGATTCGCCATGCCTACAAAAACCCTATTCAAACAGAACATCTACAAAATTTGTAGATTTACCAAAGTTCTAACTGTTATGAGAATATAGCATTAGTTAGAAAAGGTAATAAAGAAAATTAAAATTTTTTACTGTCGAATTTTAATTAAATTTGTTTGTAATAGTGTTATATTAATAGAAAAGTATTTTTTAAGTTGAC